TACTTCTGCTGCTGTTTTTTTTTTTTCTGGAAACAGGGCCAGAAGGTGGCACAGACACTTGCTTTCCATATGGGGGATATAATTAACCACTCTGTTTGCAGCTGCCCTAGAAATAGTCCTCTTGAAGTGGCTCCTTGTCAGCGGTGGCTGCAGAGCAGAGGTTCACCTCTCCTGTTGAACTCCGTCTAACTCCATTAATTTTTACCCAGCCTTGCTAATTTTTACCCAGCTTTTACCCGGTGCCATCTGGGTGCTGTGGTGGACCCCAGGTGCGGAGGGTGCTGAGGAGGAGCCTGTCCCCATGCCATGGTGGGCAGGAGGTTGTGCTGGGGAGGGACATTTCCACGGGACAGGGGCACAAAGGGACAGCTGCCCAAACTCAGGCAGAGAATTTGGGGACTGCTGTGGGCTGCAAATGTAATTCTGCCATCTCTCTGTAATGCTCCAGCAGCTTCAGGTCATCAGTGTGCTGGGTTATTAACTGTATCCAGGGGCATTTTTACTTCTGGCCTGATACCTTCAAATCATACCTGTTCTTGTCTCCTCCAAGAAGAATTTAGAGTGAAATGCCAAGCCTCAGGTGACCTTCCATGGGCACACAGATGGGCTTTCTCCGTTTGGGCAATATAAGAAAACAGCCATTATCCCTGCTAATGCCTTGATTTCAGAAGTGCTGCTTCTGGCAGGAGGTGGGCTTTGGAAAAGGTGCAAGTATGGGGAGGTTGGGTCACATCAAAGCATTTGCCAGAGCACATTCAGGTGTGAGTTTCTCCCTGGCAGAGGAGGGTGTCCCATGGAAGCCAGGCCAGCAGCCAGCTGGAGGGATCTCCTGGCAGGACAGCCTCCTCACCTCATCCTTATCTCCTGTGATTTGTGCCTGCCTCTCTGGCTGGTGCCTTCCAGCTGAGCTCCTGCAGGAGAAGTCTGGTTTGAAGGCCCTGCTGAGAGGTTGGCTCGCTGGTAGGCTTGGTTGGGTGCTGGGGAGTGGAGCAGGAGCTCTGAACTGAAGCCTGAGTCGCTGCAGGAAGGATCTGCATCCTTGGGCTGGTGCTGAGGTGGTGCAGACAGGATGGTGGCTCTGCTCAGAAATGCCTCCTTCCCTCCCTCCCCTTCTTTCCCGGTGTCTGCAGTGTCCTGGGGCTGCTGTGATGTGTCTGCCAGCTGCTAGAGCTCCCCTGGGTGACAGGGATATCGTACCTCAGGTGGGTCTGTGGTCACCTGCCACATCCCCACATCCCCCAGCTCGGTGGGACAGTGCAGGGTGGCTTCCCTGGCACTGTCCCCACACTGTGCCCAGTCTGGCACTGCTGGTCCCCACAGACAGCTCTGCTTCTCCCAGTGCTCACACAAGCACCATGCCTCCAGCCCAGGGAAGGGAGGTGCTGAGAAAGTGCCCAGGAAGGGAATGCAATTGTTTATCTTCTTGGATAATCCTTTTGGCAGGCTTGGCTGTGAACAGCAGGAGAAACTCTGGCTTTTGCCTGCACCAGCTCGCTCCAGCCCTGTGAACTGAGGGCTGTGTAGAACCCCACCAGGCAACAAGGCAGCTGCTTGAATTGCAGCCAAGTAATATTTTCTATTTTTTTTTTTTTTTGCCATCAGAATAAAAATTTTTCATGAAAGCCAGTTGGAAAAAGTCGTCTAAATCCTCTCCTTGCTAATCTGCATATTTTATAATTTTCCCATAAGCCTGGCAGTTATTCCCTAAATCTGCCTCTAAGTCTCTGTTGAGAGCTGTTATTAAGATGTAGCAATCTATTAACGACCCGGCCAGGGCTGGCTGGGAGAACTTTTAATTGCTGAGCTCAGCCAATCTCCTGCTGCAGGCTGGGGTGTGCTCCCCTTCTGGGGGCTGGGGAGAGGAGTGGTGTGGAGCCTTCCAGCTCCTGCTGTGGCCGTGGGCAGGTGTGACACCGTGGGGTGCTGAGGGGATGGGAAATGCAATGCTGTGCGTGGTGGGAGCCTGGTGAGAGCGAGGGGAGAGGGTGGGATGCACCGTGGGGTTACGGTGCTGCTGTTACAGGTGTTGCTCTCGCTGTGTGGGTGATGCTGCAGGTAACCAGCAGGGTTAGACTGTGGGGTTACAGTGCCACTGTCACTGAGGCTTTGCTCTCACCCTGTAGGTGATGCTGCAGGTAAAAGGGGAGTGCAGGGTGAAAGCCCTCCTGGGAGCTGGTGCTGATAACTCAGCACACCACAGTTGGATTTGGGTTCTCCCCTGCTCTGAGGCTTGATGTGCACCGTGCTTTCTGTGGGTAGTCAGGAGATCCTTGTGAATGCTTTCCCAGAAGTGCTCTCAGCAGAGCTTTGTGGTTTCTGTGCCGGTGTGTGTGAGTGGCAAAGGCTCCCCTGCTCCTTCCCAGCGCCGTGCCAGCGGGCAGGGGAAGCTGTCGCTTCCTCCCCGAGCTGCAGGGATGCTCAGCAGGCACGCCTGGCTGGAGCCTGGGCAGGGGCACGGCAGGGAGCAGACGTGGGGACGTCTGTCTCGGCTGCCTGGCACTGCTGCGGCGTGGATGGATGGCTCTGCCTGCTGCTGCTCAGGCTCAGGTTGGTCAGACCGCGGCTGGCACCTCTGTGAGGCATCAGGGAACCTTTCTTGGCTCTAGTTTGTCGTTTGGAAGAGGTGCTGGTGTGGTGCTGGTGTGGCTGGGAGGATGGTGGCAGTCCCTGGCTGGCACTGTGTGCTGGTGGAGGGGGTCACTGCTGGGAGTGCTGGTGGCTGCTGCTGGCTCTGACAGGAGGTGCAGGGACATGGTGCAGGGCATGAGGAGCCTCCTGCTCTGAGCATCAGCCACTGGAGGCGTGAGGATGGCTCTGGGAGAGCTCCCAGCACACCTCCCCACGTATAGGCATGGTGTAAAAACACTTCTTTAATCAAAGGTGCTGCAGACATGGCTGGGAAACAGAGGAAGGGAAGAGCTGCTGCTTCCTTTGGGCTGATCCTGCTTCTGGTGCAACAGCATCCATTGAGTTGTTGCTGCTCCAGTCCACCAGTTTTAACTGTTTAAAGTTTTGGGTTTGACACTTTCCCCAAGCAGCAGTTAGTCCCAGGCCTTCTGTCTTAGTATGTTTTGGTTCAGAACACCTTTCTCTAGCAGGGCTTTGCACTTTTCCAAGCTGCCTGCAGCGAGCCCTTGGGATGGGGATGCTGAGCTGGATCCTGGGCTGGATCCTGGGCACTCCTGGAGCCTCCGTCTGCAGGGGCTGAGCGTGCTGGGCCGCTGACTTGGGACAGACTTTTGGCACTTTTGGCACCTGCTCTGGTGGCATTTCAAAGCAGGCAAGCTGTAGGGTTGAGGATTAGTATGACTGAGTGGAGTATGAAGAATATTACTGGTGTTTTAGCAGCTCTGCTGCCTGATAATGCCCTCAAGCCATAGACTGACAAATGTCTTCCCTATTCATGTTTTAAAATTCGAAAACTGAACACTAAGGAAATCTTACCCTGGTCTAACACCTCTCTCCCCCTCATCCCTCTTCCCTTGTTTGCTCTTAGTGGGCATTTGAAATTCACTGTGTGATTTTAAGTTCAGCATCACAAAATGCTTCCTGGTGCCAGCCAGGTTTTCTCCCTTGGCTGGGAGCATCTGTGGCAAGGACACTTTGTTGTATGAAAGGACAGACATGGACAGAATGAAAAGCGGATTTTTGAACTGTTGCACAGTTCTGTTGTTTTTGAAAATAAAGTTTCCTGGTCCACTGAGAAACTTGAGTGTGCTGGGCTGGCCAGAGCTGGAGGTTGATGGAGACAGAGCTGGCAGTGCTGCCTCAAGCACTGAGCTGGGGACCTGCAGTTCTCACAGACAATCTATGGTCCAGGCCAAGGCAAGGAGGAAGAGGCATACAGAAGGGAAAGAACAATTTTCTTCATGTGTCTAGTCATTCCTTTTCTCAAAGGTGTCATTGAGCAAGATCATCTTCATTATTCTTCATATTCTCTTAATATTAGAACAGTTGTCACCAAAGGACAAAGCTTCAGCTTTGTCACTAGTTGGGAAAGGTTTTGAAAGAAGTTACAATAAGTTGGAAATGTTGAAGAGTTACACAAAAATAGAGGAGTTTGGGTAGTTTTGGTGCATTCAGGTCCCTCCTTGGATGGGCGGCTGTGTCTGTGTTTGCAGGGGCTGTCTCTCCCGTGGGTGGCTGTGTCTCTGCTGGTCCCAGGTGTCTGTGGCTTTGTGCAGGGGCTGTGCTGTCCTGCAGAGCAGCCCTGCTCTGCTCATCCTGCTGCACTTCCCCATCCTGCTGCCAGCAGTGGGGATGTCATCAGGCCCCCATGATGTGAAGCTGACATTCACTTGTGACATCTCATTCTGCTTTAAATTAAACCCCCAGCAAGCCCAGCTGGCTTCCCAGCACCGTGTGTGTCATCTCGAGGAGTTTGTGCTGTGAAACTGTCTGCTTCACCAGTCGTGATTTTAGCTGAGACTTTTAAATAGCAGAAGCAGACCCTTTTGGTTTTTTGAGCTGAGTACTAAATCTGTGTGGTGAGACATTTTGCATGGGTTTGAGGCTTGGACAGAAGAGTGAGTGTAAGGGAGGTGCAGTTTCCATCATCCTCAATGCCACGAATAAACCCAGAGATTCTCCAGGTCAGGACTAGGAAGAGATGGTAGATGCTAAATTACATTCCTAATGCCTTGAAGTGCTTGGTAAGGACACATTCTCCTCCAGGAAGGAAACATAACCTGGCACAGGCTGCAGCTGCACAGGGCAGCAGTGCAGTGCCCTGTCCTGCTGGGGTGCAGGGCAGGCTGTGGCCCTGAGCTGATGGGTGACCCAAGGTGTGTTTCAGGCTCAGCACATCCCTGCTTTGCTGCACGGCAGTGTGTGCTGTTCCCTGGGCTTTGGCTGGGGCAGAGGGGTGAATCTCTGTTCCAGCTGCCCTGGCTCAGCGAGCAGCTGGGGGCTGGGGCTGGGGGCTGGGGGCTGGGGCTGGGGCTGGGGGCTGTCCCCCAACCTCTGCAATCCCTGAGCTGACGGTGTCTCTCCCCGGGCAGTGTGCTGGCGAGGAGAAGCGCGTGGGCACGCGCACCGTGCTGGTCGGGCACCGGCCCGTGCCGGACACCGAGGCGTGCCTGGCACAGAAGTTCTGCGACAACAGGATCGTCTCCTCCAAGGTGAGCCCCTGCCCGCCCGGGCACCGCCTGCTCCCCGTGCCCACCTGGAGCCTGGCAGGTCCCAGTCCCTCGGGATGGACGCGCAGGTGCAGCCTGGCACAGCCCTCACACGGCTCCAGCCTCTCTTGGGGTGTTTTTCCATCCTGTCAGTGCCAGCGGGGCTGTGGGCAAGCTCCTTTCTTGTAGGCTGGATGACAGCAAAGCACATGGACATGTTAAATTTGTGGGGTTGGGGGTTTTTTTTTGGTGTGTTTTTTAAAGTTTTCTGGCATCCCCTTGGGGAGGAAAAGACAGGTTAGGGGTATAATGCAGCATGAGATAACAGCAGCTCAAATTTGCAAAAGAGGGTGGTATTATTTTGTAAAGGGACATAAAAATATGATTCCCTCTTTTTTTTTTTTAATTCTGTGAGATTTTTCTTTCTTGAGATAGGACAAAAATAACCATGCTCTGTTTATCCCCTTGGATGAAAGGGGGGGAAACATTCATGTGGTATTAATGCAGCTTTTGTTTATGGTGGAAAACTGTGATGACACCCATCTGCCTTCTGCTTAGCTTTTTTCCGTGACATTCATGTAGCTATTTCAAATGATTTGAAGCCAGTTCGAGTAAAATATCAAACAAGTGGCATTCCATATTGTCAACACAGCTGGATACGTATCCCAGTGCTCAGGATTTGTGATGCTCAGCATACACTTAGGCTTCAGTTTTGCTGTACTTGAGCTGCAAAGGGGCTTTTCCCTCTCCTTTCTTTCTTTGTGCATCTTGGATCTTATCTGGTTTTGTATGTCTGGGTTTATTTTTGGGAAAAGCTTTCAGTGTGTCCATGTTTGACTTATTTAGCATTCCCATTGATGTTTCCCTGGCGCTCAGGAGGGGCCCTCAGTGAGGACACCTTCCCCCAGCTCAGTTCCCTCCCTGACAAATGCCTTGCTTTTGCACTAATTTTAGTTCTTCCTTGATTTAGTTTTGAATGGTATGTCCGTGCTCTTTTTTCCTTTTATATTTGCTAGGCCTGGGACCTGACCAATCTCTTTTATAATTAAGTGGCCATTGGTCTTGAGGCTTGCCTGCCTTTTTTTTTTTTTATTCCAGGCAGACTCAAAGACAGATATTAGACCCATTATTTCCCATGTTGTTCTTAAATTCCACACGCTTTCCAAAGTAAATGATTCAGCAGCCTTCTTAAAATTATAACGAGGCACAAACTATTACTGAATTTGTGTGGGCAACCATGGCACTTTTTTTTTTCTTTTTTTTTTTTTTTTTTTAAAGCAGCTCTAAGATAGTTTGGGGAATTAGGAAAAAACGTGTCCACTGTGGGTTATGTTGTAATGAAACCAGCTGTGTACAAATGCCTTTCAGAAGTTGTCTCACTGTGGCTGTTGGGTGCTGGGGCTGGAAGCTGGAGCAGGAATTTGGCATCTCAGCCCCAGCTGCACGGTGCTGCTGGGCTTGGCGGGGGCACCTGGAGCCCCCAGGCTGCTCAGGACCTGGCTGAGCTTCGCTGGAGAGCTGCTGTGCCTCCTGTGCAGCCCAGCTGTGGCTCTGCTCCCTGCCAGCTGCATGCCTGGCCCTGAGCCCCCTCTCTCCACAGTACACCCTCTGGAACTTCCTCCCGAAAAACCTCTTTGAGCAGTTCCGAAGAATCGCCAACTTCTACTTCCTCATCATCTTCCTCGTGCAGGTAAGAGCTTCCCGTGAGTTTTATTTAGGTGCTGGTGTTAGGCACGGCTTGAGCAAGAATTGAGCTTTAAAACTGTTTGTGCTTACAGAAGTTTGGAAGTTCTGGAGTTGGAAGCTGTGTTATAATTCTGCCACGCCATCCAAGGCATAAAAATAATTAAAATATCTGGGCCTGTCTGAGATGGGCTTTGAATGACTGCTAAAACACTGAAAAACCATCTTAATTCTAACTGTTAAGGTCATTCAACCCCTGAAAATACACTTGATGCTACACAATTAAGATCTGTTTTTTGTCACCATTACTACTTCTGTTTAATAACTATATTTCCCCAAGTGATGTGATATTTTTATGTCTCAGATATAATGTTTGCCCGTGCAGTCAGGGGCTCTGGTCTGTGTCCCTCTGGCTGCTGCAGGGGCAGGGATCCCGAGCCACGGCTCCTCCTGGCAGTGTGACATGAAAGGCCAATTTACTCTGGCGTCAGCTGGCTCGCCTCCATCTCTTCATCTCGCTGGCATTGCTCCATTTTGTCAGACCCAATTTGTAATTTGCCTTGAACTGAAGCGATACCCTGGAGTCAGGATGTCCTTTTTGTGTAGCTGGCCACTTAGTGACGTGCTATTACATTTTATCTATTGACCCTCTGGCTGTGGAGAGCGTGGAATATTCCTGATTATAGCTACAGACTGGGCTTGTCTAGCTGCTTGCCCATTTTCGGCACAGGTCTGTGCAGGTGAGAGAAGAGCCTAGCTGTTCTTCCTTGTCTTTATTCTGTGAGCACCTCCAAAATCAGGGAGCAGCCCTTGTGGTCAGTTAGAGAGCAAACAAACCCCAGTGAGCAGAGCCCAGCCTGGCAGCACTGACCCCTGGCTGCATACAGAGCAGCCCCTGTCCCCACTGCTTGTCATTCTGAGACATCACTGGCCTTACAAAGGCACTCAGGGCCACTCCATTCATGCTGAATACCAAGGTTATTCCTTGAAAAGTGCCACCTATATCTTGAATGTTCATGCTTCTGTTTAAATTTCTGTAAGTGGACGGGGTTGTCCCCCTGAGTGCTGCGTGAGGAGTGAAGTGTCACAGTGCTCGAGGAGCTGCTGGTGCACCTGCCCTACCTGTTGTGAAACACTTCATCAAAACTTGTTTCTCTGTGCCTGCAGATCCAGCTTTGCAGCACAAAGTACGTGCATTAAGCATAAAACACGCTGCAGAGACACATGTCTTTGGTTGATCTCCCGGGAGCCTGCAGGAATCTCGGGGCAGAAGGGGCTGGCCCGGAGTGAGCACAGCCAAGTGTTTGTAGGCAATAAGCTGGTGGCAATAAGCTGCTTTAGGAATCTGCAAAGAGTCTCTCTGAGGAGGAAAGTGGAGATAACTTTTGGAGCGTGGTCCATAGTGTCCTAAGGAATCTTGTAAAAAGAAACTATCAAGTAACAGAAGGACTTCGTCATTTTTAAGTGGATTCAAATTAAGGTGTTGAAGTCCTAAACCAGTCCAAAAAAATAGTTTCAGAGGAGTCTGCCTTTCTCCTGGCTTGTTGTTCGTGTGTCCCTCAGCTTTTCAGCAGCCACAAAGGAGAACAGTGTCCAGCCACGGGGTTTTTCCAGAGTCCAAACTCCAAGTACCTATCTGAATTATTCCAGGCACTTCAACTGGTATTGTGCTCCTATATCTGTAATCCTAGATCTGTGAGGACAGAAATTGTGCCTTTTTCAAATATAAATACATACAACTATAACTTGTCCAGTGCAGAGAACACTCCTGCTGGGCAGGAGGAGGTCCTGCACTTTGGCCTTCTCAGCAGAAAGCCAGAGTTCTTCCTGAATTCCCAAAACCTGCCCAATTTTTGCAGGGTAACTTCTGGCTTAGTGGCCTAAGCTTCAGGGTACTTCAGGCCCGGGTGAGTGGCCATCACACGGTCTGTGTGCAGTGTCTCTGTGACACTTGGCACTGCCCTCACTCAGAGCTGTTCCTCCAAAGTGTGATCTCCACCAGGCTTTCTGCTGGAAACACTTTACACCCATTTGAGTGAGCCAGGGCTTTGTGTACCTGGAAGTATTTTTGGTGTTTATCTTGGTTTACCCTCCTGCTGCTTAACTCATCTGCCATTCATCTGGCTGCTTCTTGTGGTGTGTCTCTTCCACTTCAGAATCTTCTGGCTTTTCTCTCTGGGTTCAGTGGTGCAGGGAAATACAGCAGCATTTCATAGTCAAAAGTGTCCACGTAGCTGATAAGAGGAGCCCTGTCCTTAGCACAGCTTTTTACAGGCAGCCCGAAACAATAAATATCCAAATGCTGCTGTGATGTGAGCCTGCTGGGGAAGCACAAACAAGAGACAAAGTCCCTTTGTGGGGACACAGAGCCTTTCTGCTGAGCTGCCCTGTCCCTGCTGCTGGTGCTCCAGCCTCTCCAGGAGCAGCAGGAGAAATGAGCAGTTTGTGGTGTGTTGGTTTGGAGGGTGCAAATGCTCCCTGCCGCTGATGAACCTGCCCTGCCCTTCTTACCCTTTGGGCCACGTCCTGGCACAGGCAGAGGACAGCAGGTCCCACAGCCTGGAGGTTTCTCTGGTGATCAGGGGCTTGCTCTTCCCTTGGTGTGGCTGGAGCACTGCGGTGAGCCCTGGCAGGATCCAGCTCTGCCCCAGGGCCGTGGTGCCTGCACCATGCTCTGGGCTCCAAGTCTGAGAGCTTAAAACAAAGCCTGGATTTCTGTTTTACTTAAATATTCATGTTCTGTTCTGCAGTGTATTTCGTAGGTGATTTGGGCTGATGGGTGTTATTTTTAGCCTCCCAGTGTCAGTGGTTGGAGCTGACTGGTGCTGCCCTCCCTTTTGTAACCAGCCCTTCCTTCCCTTTCTGCTCTGCAGGGCTCTGACCTGCCCTCAGTGGGATAAGCATGCTTCCCCCCCATAACCAAAGTTTTGGGTTCTCCTGCTGCCTAAAAGGCAGGGCTCAGCAATGTTTTTCTCCCTGCAGGTGATAGTGGACACCCCCACCAGCCCGGTGACCAGTGGCCTCCCGCTCTTCTTTGTCATCACTGTCACAGCTATCAAACAGGTACAGGTGTCAGCGTGGGGAGGAGATGCTCTTTGAGGCTAGAGAAACACGGATTTGGATGTGCTCAGAAGGCACCGAGGTGTGCTGGGAGGTTTGGTGCACCCTTCCTAGAGGGTGAGACAGGCACAGTGCTTTTCAAGAGTGGCTGCATGTTGAGTGTGAGTGCTGGTGCCTCCTGTTCTGGCAGTGTAAAGCATCCCTGTGCTGCTGAAAGCAGGCCATGAGGGTCAGCAGAGCTTTCTGCTGTGGGCCCGGTGTTGTTTTTCCTCCTCTTGGAAACACTCCCCGAGTCCTTGCAGAGACGTGCTCCAAACACAGCCCACGCTCTGCTCCCGTGCTGGTAGGTGGAAAGGACAGGTTCTGTTCAGCCACTCAGCTAGTCCTGAAAACATGTAATCCTCATCTTCTTGCAGTGTTAAAAGACCTTTTGCCTTCCATCACAGGCACACATGCCATTTAAAGGTTCCTGATTGAATAATAAAAAAAGAAGTTTGATCTACGGGGGCTGGAAAGGAGAGCTAGAATAAAATCTATCTGCTTCAAATCTCAGTGCTTGTTCTTGCAGTAAAGACTGAAGGGGAAGAGTCTCATCCTGCGTTACCATAGGAAAGAGTTGCAGGCTGCTGAGTGTATTATTCATGTTATCAGTCTGTTCCTACCAAAGCTGAGAATAATAGAAATGTGTTACAGTAGTTTGGCTGCTGGTTGCATGCCCTGCATGTAGAAAATGTTTGTGTTATTTTAATCTGTTCTGAATCTGTCAAATATGCATATGAAGGTTTTTAAAATGGATCGATTCAGTCTGAGCCACTCTGGTTGATGTTTATTCAGGCATGAAGGGGGTCTGAGGACGGTGCCTTACCCGTGGTTTTAATGTGCCCCTCTGATCCTCACTCCTCCTTTTGCATTAGTTTCCTCACTTTGTTACGAGTTTGTTGCCCGTGTCTGTGCCTTAGGGGTACGAGGACTGGTTGAGGCACAGAGCTGACAACGAAGTGAACAAAAGCAACGTCTTTGTTGTTGAAAATGCAAAGCAAGTGCGGAAAGAGAGTGAAAAAATCAAGGTGAGTGTTAACTGGGAACCTGCACGTGGTTCTCACTGACAGGAACACAGAGCTGTGTGCTGAGGGGACAAGGGCAGGGGAGGAGGGGTGTCCTGGGTTAGACCTGCCCCAGCTGGCTCGCTTTCAGAGGAGATGCTCCCAGAGCTGTTCCCAGTTAAGGAGTGAAGCTGCCTTTGATTTCTTTTGAAAAAGCTGTCTCACAAAAGCTGCAGCAGGGCTGACAGGTGACAGATCTGTCAGCGTTTTGCACTTCTCCAGGACAGGCAGTCCTCCTCTGTTTCCTACTCTCCCAAGGACACCAGGAAAGTACACTTAGTTTTGATGTTAATTTATCACACTGCACTTCAGGCAAGTACAGCCTCTTGCTCCATCAAGATTGAGCAGAGAAATAAACCCTAACTGTGCCACGTAGGTGCTCTGAGTCAGTGCTGGCTGGATTGCCCCATCGGGCTGTGGAGTGATGTTTGGGGGTCTGGGCACCTCTTGGACCCCACTTTACCTCTCGGGCTTTGAGAGAAGCTGAATCCTACTTGTCTAATAACAGCTGAGAGGATTCTTCATGTGAGTGTTTCCTTCCTCCCAGGTTGGAGACATAGTAGAAGTGAAAGCAGATGAGACCTTCCCCTGTGACTTGATATTCCTGGCCTCCAGCAGCACGGATGGGACCTGTTATGTCACCACGGCGAGCCTGGACGGCGAGTCCAACTTCAAGGTGGGGCTGGGTGGGCACTGCTGGGGTCCCTGGGCATGGCGCTGCCTGCACAGTGGGAATGCCACTGTGGATCAGTGTTTTTGGGATTTGTGACCCTTCTCAGTGGTGGTTGTTGGCTGGTGCTGGATAACCTGTGTGGGAGCTGGTGGCACAGTGCTGGTTCCACTAGTGAGGAGGAGTTGCAGCTTTGAAGTGGCTTGAGGCTGAAAATAGCTAACCATGTTAAAAGGCTATTGCTTATTTGTGTCAGATGTGTTATATGCATGAGTTCACATTACTTTTGCAGAGTCCTGGCTCTCACTAACTTGTGAGCCTGGAGATGAGATGCTGAGTTTCTATATCAAGCACTGTGGTGTTTTTTTCTTGGCTCGTGGATTCCTGTAGGTGACTGGGAGCTGTCTCCTGTTTCGTGAGGAGGTAAAGATGCGTTTGAAGGGAGAGAGGGAATAGAAAAGCCAGGTCTGTTTGGGGAAATAGATCTAACATTAGGAACCAGGGTTTGCTGCAAAAGGAGGGTGAGGGAAGCACATCTGGGTGATCACCAGACCTCTTCTTGCAGGGATATCTGCTGCCTTCCTGGTGGGGATTTTTCTGGTATTTGGAGCATGTCAGGTTGGGGTATGGGAAAGGTGTCTGAGTGAAACTGGAATAGGAATATAAAAGATTCTTGTCAGGGCTCTGTCTTTGAAGCACAAGTCTTTGACCATACCTTAGCTAACAGAACATGTGTTTCCTGAACGCACTGAAGGGTGTGAAGATGCTGGGATGGACTGGGAGGTGGCTCTGAAGCATCAGTCAGTAACTGCACGGTGTCCTGCTGCTGGGAGCAGTGCAGAGCCCCACGCCAGGGCTGGCTTTGGGGCTGGGCGCTGCAGGAGCAGCTTTGGCTGGTGTTTCACAGCAGCTGTGGTCTGAACTGGGGATCCACGTGTGTTTGCAGCTGGCAGAGCCAGGCAGGCTGGCAGAGCAGCAGAGGAGGGGATCTCTGTGCCAGGGCTGTGCCGTGTGTGACTCCCGGGCTGTGTGGGGACGGGCTGCACACGTCAGGAGCGGAGGAAGCGCTTTAATGAATTTGTTTATGAAGATGGATTGAGGCAGCCTGCCGTGCAGCCCGCCGTGACTTGCAGCTCTGAGTGGCTCCTATAAATAGAGCCTGAAAGGCAGCGAGCAGATCCTTTGTGGGCTTCTCAGTTAATTATGAGAGATGAACCTTTGCAGCAGCAGCTGCTAAAAACAGCTCTGAGTCTGGCAGGGCTCTGCTGATCCTGGTGCTGGAGCTGGTGTCTGGCTGCCCTCAGGAGCCAGGGCAGGTGCTGAGCCCCTTCCTCTCGGGGCCAGCACAGCCTCCCCTCCGCCCCAGCCAGGGCAGGTCCCAGGGGAAGGCTGAGGATGCTGTGCTTTGGGGGATGCCTCGCTGAGAGCCGCCCAGTCGGTGCTGTGGCTTCTCTGGGGCATTGGTGACTCCATCCTTTCTCTGAGAGATGCTTCAGCCGCTCTGTGGGAGCGTGGCGAGGGCTGGGCAGAGCTGCTGGTGCTGGCAGGCGTGTGCAGGGTGGTGTTTTCGGTGCTGGGGTGTGAAGCTGGGGATGGGGCTGTCTCTGGGGCTGTGCTGACGCTGCCTGTGTCCCGTGGCAGACTCACTACGCCGTGCGGGACACCACCGTGCTCTGCACTGACGAGGCCATCGACACCCTCACGGCCACCATCGAGTGTGAGCAGCCCCAGCCCGACCTCTACAAGTGAGTCTGGCCCTCCTGCCCTGCCTGTCCTGCCCTGCAGCGCCTGTGTCATCCCCCTGCAGCCCCTCAGCACCGTCCCCGGGGCTCTGCAGTTCAGTAAAGGCCATCCTCTGTGTGCCAGAGACCAGAAGGTGTCCCAAGGCACTGACAAACCGCTGGGCTCCTCTGTATGAGCACAGCAAACGCTTCAAAGCTCAGTTCTTTGCAGAAAAGCCTCCCCTGTGCAGCAGTGTGCGTGGTACAGTGAGCTGGTTTTTGTCAGCCCAGCAGCAGGAATGGTCCGTGTACCCATTTCCAGCCACTCTTACCTTCCCAGTGAGATGCACTGGGCTGGATGACTGCCAGGAGTGGGTGGTCTGTGCTGGATCCCTTGAGGGAGGTGTTCTGGGTGTGTTGCATCTGTACTGGGATGTGCTGGGCTGTGTGAGCACACAGGCACCCCTGAGCATGAGCAGCGTGTGGCTTCTCCTGAGCACAGCCACCCCTCTGAAACATTAAACTCAAATTCACTTGTTTCTGGATTCGCTTCCATTCCCTGTCTGTGACTTCTCTTTTTGTTTGTAGTATAACGTGTTTGTAACACAAGTTTCTCATGTTTTTATCACAGATTTGTTGGAAGAATTATCATCTATGGAAGTAACCAAGAGCCTGTAGCCAGGTTGGTCCTGCAGCTGCCTGTTTGCCTGCCTCAGAGGGGTTGGGCATCCACAGAGAATTCAAAGATCTGAGCTTGTCCTGCCATCTTTTGGGAATATTTATTTTCTTTAACCATTCTGAAAGGAGGCCTCCCTTCTGCCATCCTGTGGTTGGTTTGAGCCCCTTTTGGGGAAGCAGTGCAGGACCATGTGCTAATATCCTGCCCTGCTGATGGGGCACAGATTTACCAGGCAATGACAAAATATTCCCATTGGAAGGTAAGCAAAAACTCAAACATCAGTCAGTGTTCCACAGGAAAAGTGAGCAGGTGATGTTCATAAGCCATCCAAAACAGCATTTGTGCCCTGGTGGGTCTGTTCATACCCTGGGAGCCACAGAGGCTCACTGGGGGATTCAGAGAGAAATAAAAACACAAATGGGGCTGTCAGCTTTGATGGTGCCATTGGCTGCCTGGGCTGGAATGGACAGGCTTCTGGGGATTTTAACATTGCAGTTTTATGAGTACTGGAACATACTGGATCTGAGCATTTTGCAATTATTCCTCAAAAGCCTTACTGAAAATCCCCCAATAAGAAAGAAATCTTGCATTTGGGATAGTATTTGTAAGATGAAATAGAAATGTATAAAACATATATAAAGAAAATATATATAAGGAACTATATAAAGAGAAAAACTCAAGCAAGGCCCCAGTTTAACATACAAATTATGTAATCATATGTAAGGAAACTTTATCTTTCTATTCTAATTCTAGTTTATAAAGTAGTTTGAATGTTCTTTGAGTGATGTAATGTTATATTTTCTTTGATGTTTAGGTCTTTAGGTCCTGAAAACCTGTTGTTGAAAGGTGCTACCCTCAAAAATACCAAGAAGATTTATGGTGAAGTTATTTTTGTTTGTTTACTTAGATAGTTCTGATAAATCATGACAAATGTGGATGTTCACTGCTAAATCTGGGGAGGGAGCATACTTGTGCAGAGCGTGGCTGGGCTGCAGAGCTGCAGGAGCTGGGTGCAGAGTGGCCAGGGTGCAGAGAGGAGGCACTGGTTCTGTTGCAGGGCTGCCCAGCTGTGGCAGGACACCAGAGCCAGCCTTTCCTTTGCCCGGGGCACCGTGAGCAGGGGTTGTCCCCACTCCTCTGCTGGGAGCACTGGTGTGCAGGGTGGGCTGTGCTGGGAGCCTGGTGCTCTTCCTGACTCTGGGAGACCAGGGGCTCCTGCTCTGGGGCACTGAGGGACATTCCTCTGCAGCCTGAGAGGTTTGAGGAGTGGAGCAGCCCTTGGGTGGTGCCTCCTCCTGCAGCTGGGACTGCAGTTTGGTGTAAACACCGATGGCCCTGATGGCCCAGTGCCAGCCGGGTCCCTCAGGAGCCCTGCCTTGCTGCCCTGCAGGAGTTGCAGTCTACACTGGGATGGAAACAAAAATGGCTCTGAACTACCAAGGGAAATCTCAGAAACGCTCTGCAGTAGAAAAGTGAGTATTCAGGAAAAAAAGGGTAAAACCTGTTGGGTTTGGGTTTGTTTTTAATGGATGGCTTGTAGAGAAGTAATCCCCTAATCTGCTGCCTTTTGTTCCAGATGCTCTCTGATTGCACAGAAAAATCTGGGTATTTGATAAAGCAAATCTTGCTAGAAACAGCATCATTTGGTAGCTTTTTTATTTAAAAACAAAATTAAGAAATGTTTAAATATATGAACCTGACACTGAATATCAGCAGTGTCAAAAGCACTTGTTCTGTAATTGCCTTCTTAAAAGTAAAGAAGTCTTGTTCCTGCCTATTTACATGTTTTTCTCTATAAAAACAGCTGCAAGAACTTAAAAAGGAAACCTGTTTTTCAGGTCCATCAATGCTTTCTTGATAGTGTATTTGTGCATCTTACTGGGCAAGGCCACTGTGTGCACGACTCTGAAATATGTCTGGCAGAGTAATCCATTCAATGATGAGCCTTGGTACAACGAAAAGACTAAAAAAGAGAGAGACACGTTCAAGGTAAGTGGATTTGTATTTCAGCACCTCCTCCAGGTTTACTCACTCTGGCTGTTTGGTTTAATCTGATAGTGCCTGCTGCCAGCCCTGGGCGTCCTGTTTGCTCACACAAAGTGCTGTTGTTTCCTTTGGTCTCTCCTGCTGTTTGTGTTTCTTTTGTGCCTCTCTCATGCTTGTGCACTGTGATATTTGTGTGGAACAGGGGCAAAGCATAAATAAATACTATAGAACATAGAAATGCAGCTGATGTAACCTGGGTCCTTATCTGAACTCAGGATATATTACAGTTTGAGTAGGTAAACTTGAGCTGAGGCCATGTCAGCCAGCTTGTTAAACCTGCCCAGACGTGGGCAGTCAGGCTGAGAGTGAGTGTGGGTGTGTAGAGATCTTCGCTGGATGGGTTATTGAGTTGATGGGTTGTGTACAGGGATGTCACTGCACCATTGTACCCTTGCCACAGCCTGACTGATCTCAAGCCACCCGCTCCTTTTTTCTGGTTACTTGGGGTCAGCATGGGCCTGTAGCAGTATATTCTTGAGAGGAATCAGCTTATGAAACTGTTTTGGTCACTGTGAAGCAGTGAGATGTGTGCCTGGTAGCTCTGCAGAAGACAGGGGGATTTTCTGTGCCAAAGGAAAATGGGATTTAGCCCTGTATCTCAGCTGTACTCATTTTCACGTTGTTTTTTCATATTTAACCTTTTCTGAGAAGCTGTCCCGAATCCCTGGGGTGTTTCTGCAAACTGCCCCATGTCCTGACAGGCACAGGCTGCACCTTCTCTTTCCTTTGCAGGTCCTGCGGATGTTCACGGACTTCCTGTCCTTTATGGTCCTCTTCAATTTCATTATCCCTGTCTCCATGTACGTCACAGTGGAGATGCAGAAGTTCCTGGGCTCCTTCTTCATCTCCTGGGACAAGGAGATGTTTGATGAGGAGATCCAGGAGGGAGCACTGGTGAACACCTCGGACCTGAACGAGGAGCTGGGGCAGGTCAGGACGTGCAGCGTGTGCATTTCTCTCAAAGTGGGATGGAAGTGTGGCTGGAGGGGCCCTCCCTGCAGGGAGCCCTGGCTGTGGCCATCCCTGGTGTCCCCTCGGGCCAGGGCTTCACCCAGAGCTGGGTGGCACTTTCCATTGATGTGATTCCACTGGCTCTGCCAGCCAGATAAGGTTATAAATAGTGCATGAAAGAGCAGGAATTGGGTCACGCCAATTGTTTCCATTTTGGGGAACATGAGGCGCAGCGCTCTGCGTGTCAGGGTCCTTTGCTTTCAGTGCTTCAATTAAAAATTAAAAATCCTCTTGTCTCTTTGAGGATTAGTGACAAATGCCTGCCCAGTTGTCTCCCTGGGCACGCAGAGCACGTGCAGTGTGCTGCTGCTGCCTCGCTGGGGCACAGAGACAGCTCAGGCTTCCCTTTCTGCTCTGCAGCAGGAGAGATGAGTGCAGGGCACGTATAGTGCCTCCTGCTTTTGATTGTGCTTTAAAAACAATGGTAAAAATACACTTAGAGTAGCAATTAGCTGATTGAAACACAGCTCCAAGGTGAAAATCCCCAAAGGAGGCAGCAGACCTGCAGCAGCAGTTCTGTAGGCACTAGGACTATAGCAAAGGACCCAAGAAAGTGAATGAGAGGAAGGTGAAGAGCCTGGAGACAGATTTTAGGTCTTCAGAAGCTGCCACCTGTGCAACAGGCTGAAAAGCAAAGCAGCAGAGTGGCAGAGCTGCAGAGTGGTGCAGTGGGGCACCTGCGCCTGCTTTGCAGTGGGGTTGGGATAGCCCAGTGCCCTGCAGCACTGGCACAGGGGCACTGAGATGCCCCAGGCTCTGTTTTGGGGCCCCTTGCCCGGCCCCTGTGACAGCCCCCGTGCTTGCAGGTGGAGTACGTGTTCACAGACAAAACGGGCACGCTGACCGAGAACAGCATGGAGTTCATCGAGTGCTGCATCGACGGGCACAAGTACAGGGACCGTGTCTCGGAGCTGGACGGCTTCTCCCAGCCCGACGGGCCCCTCAAGTACTACGGCAGAGCTGAAAAGGTGAGGGATGTGCTGATTGATGGCTGTCAGGGCTTGTGGCTGCGGGTGGCCTGCAGCTGTAACGAGCCCTCCCTCCCTTATCCTGCCCAGAGCCGTGAGGAGCTGTTCCTGAGAGCCCTGTGCCTGTGCCACACGGTGCAGATCAAGGAGGCAGACCAGGTGGATGGGCTGGTGGCACACCCAGAGCGCAAATACACCTATATCTCCTCCTCCCCAGACGAGATCGCCTTGGTGAAAGGCGCAGAAAAGTAAGAGTGTGATGATGTTGGCTTTTTAATTCCCTCTCTGATGGGAAGGAGGGAGGTGGGGGTGATCTGAAGGTGATAAATCCTTTCCACTGCTCTCTGGGAAGCGTGTTGTGATACCAGCGCTGAACCTGCAGTGCTGTGAGCCTGTGGGTTCAAGTGAGCTCCCTGCTAAAGGGATCTCTGTAAAGGATCTTCCCTGAGCAGCTCCCTGGGAAGCCATGGTTTGCATTCACTGAGAGCAGCCCCAAGGTGCTGCAGTGCCCAGGCGTGGCAGAGGCTTCTTTGCTGGAACCACATGGCTTTGTGCTTTAATCCCCTGGGAGCAGAGACCAGCTACCACGTGCATATTGCAGTGAAGTTTTTTGCTTGCCATGAAGTGGCAAAATAATAGGATGGTTACTTCTGTCAACCCCACATTTGAATCTTGCCAGAGATGCTTGAGGGCAGGCTGGGTGGGGCTTTGAGCAGCCTGTCCCTGCCCATGGGCTGGGGACTAGGTGATCTCTCCAGCCCAAACCATTCTGACTCCGTGCTCTCGCCAGCCCCTGGGTTTAGATGGAGGCTGTTGCAGCTGTGTACACTTGCTCATGGCTTGTAAAGCTGCCAGAGAGCCCGTGGACCACATCCAGAGGCTCTCTGTGTCTGTGTGCTCCAGTGCCCAGGCTCTCCAGGGGATGGGAGCAGTGCCAGGACATCACAGCAGGCTCTGCATGGAGCAAACAAACATCCAGCCGTGCTCCTTAGCTCGGGCTCACCCCGCTCTGCTCTGCAGTGCAGGAGGTGAAACGAGAACATTGTTATGTACAGTGTGTGCCAATGGGTGTTTTCAATGCTCTTCTGTCCTTTTGTTTATTGACAGGTATGGTTTCACTTTTCTAGGACTTGAAAACAATTTCATGAAAATACGAAACCAAAAGAATGAAACTGAGATGTAAGTGCTGCTGGGGCTGCTGAGGAACAGGGCTGCTCTCCTGCACCACTCCCACCCAGCTTAATTGAGTTTGGTCACCCTGGCAAGGTCAGAGCTGTTCCTTGGGGGCAGTCAGGCCGTGCTGACCTGCCCTAAAACTCCTGTCCCCTTTACAAAGCACAGCACACCAAGGTGTGGGCAAAAAGAGTCGCTTGCAAAAATCCACGGGTGCTTTTCTGATGTCTGAATTCAGGTCCCTGAAGAGCCTGCAGTCCTTTGTTTGTATCCTTCATCTGCCCCAGCTTGTGCAGGTGGCTCCTGGGCCTCACGAGGTGGCTGCTGACCTTGTGGGCTGTGGCTGGGACTCACAGCAGGACACTGAGCCTGAACTCGTGACACAGCTCCATTCCCTGTAACCTCTTCTTCCCCTCCCGAGCTGAGAATAGCTGGGTTTTACCCTGTGCTCACAGCTTGGAGACGTCTGTGAGTCACTGACCCAATCCCAGCACTCCCTGAAAACTTGCCCTCACAAGCCAGTTTCACTTCTTCCTTCTTGAAGAAGCTCCTTATTTACGTGGGAGCCTCAATGTTACTGCTTGTGGCACTGGTGCCCCATTCCCTGCTGAGCCCCTGCCCAGCCTGGGGGCTCGGTGCCCTGGTGGGTGCCCACACCCTCAGTCCCATGCTCAGAGCACCACAGGACTACTGGAATCTGTTTTTTTCCCTCCATTTTCTTGTGCAGTAGCTGTAAAATTCATTCCCACGTGGCTGATGCCACTTGCAGGGTGTATTGATTTCTGCAGCTCATTGTTAGTGATTTTCTGTCTCAAATGATTATTTTTCTATTTTTCCTGTACCGAGCTTTTTCCCCTTTCTCTGCAGGTACCAGCTTCTCCACGTGTTGAACTTCGACCCTGTCCGGCGCCGTATGAGTGTCATTGTGAGGGCCAGCACAGGTACAGCAGAGTGCTGCTGGGGCTCCCACAGCCGTGTGTCAGCTGTCAGCACAGCCTCCTTGTTTCTGCCACCCACACAAGCTGAGCTCTGAGGTTTTCTGGGCTGGTCTGACTAAATTCTGCACTGGCACTGGCTGCTGTAGAGTTCATTTTCCTTCATGGCAGCTGTTTGGGACCAGGAGCAGATCAGGGAACGAGAACAGTGACCCATGGAGAGCTCCCTGCCTGCCTTGTTGCAGGCTGGAACAAGCACAGGGAAGACATGTGAGAATGTCCCCTAGGTGGGATGGGGTTTCGTGGGAATGGCAGACAACAATTGGGTCACCATCCTTCTCCAGTGCCAGTCCTGTAAAGTTTGGGATGCTGTTCTGCCCTCCCTGCAAAGGTTGCCAGGGCTTACAGATACAGTGCCCAGCCTGCTGCAGAACACTTGCTCAGAGGCAGGCAGGGACACCCAGAGTCTCAACCTGAGGTGTTTCACAGGCTGGGCAAAGGCCATTTTTGGTAGGCACTTGGGTTTCTAGCAGTTCCCTCTTTAGTCCTCCCGAACTTCCTCCCTCTGCATCACTTGCTTGCTGTTCTGTTAACTCTTTCTGCAGCTCATGAGTGCTATAAATTATTTATAATTTGCTTTTAGGAAAGTTGCTTCTCTTCTGTAAAGGAGCAGACTCCTCTATTTTTCCAAGGGTGCAGCAAGAAGAAATCCAACAAACAAAAGTCCACGTGGACCGCAATGCCATGGTGAGCACACGGATGGAATTTGGCTGGCTCCTGGGGGCAGGAAAGCCTCATTCCAAAAATAGGGATGGGACCTTGCTTTGAGGAGAAGTGTTGAAAATCTGAGTGTCCCTTCATGTTGTTTTGATGCCAGGCTTCTTTCCTTTTCTGTTTGGTTGGCTTCCACCTTTATTTGATATACTTATATGGTCTCCATCACAGTTGTGTCCAAGCGTCTCCCAGGCAAGTTAAAAATAGCAGCAGCATCAGCAGCCTGGTCCCAGTCGTGGTGGGCCCAGTCCTGCTCTCCCTGCTGGCTGCGTGCTCCCAGCCTGCTCCTTCTCTTGGTTTCTTTCTGCACATAAGAAGCAGAACCACGATTACTCTGTTTAAACACAGAAAATTGCTTTTTTGACACAAGCCAACAAATTATCCTTGCCCTCAGGGTCGGTACTGCCAGAAGCACTGATGGCAGACAACCCTGAAGGGAGGAGCTGTAAAAAATCTGGATTTAGGGCATTTGTCCACTTTGTTTTCTTTCCCTCCCGCTGCCAGGATGGCTACAGAACACTCTGCGTGGCCTTCAAAGAACTGACTGAGAAGGAGTATGACAGAATTGACAGACAGCTCAATGAAGCCAAGATGGCTCTGCAGGACAGGGAGGAGAAGATGGCCAAGGTTTTTGATGACACAGAAGCAGACATGCACCTGATTGGGGCTACTGCTGTAGAAGACAGGTGAGGAGGTGACTCCACCACCTGCCCTCTGGTTTCTCTGTGCTGTGAACTGTGGCCTGCACTCACCGTGGTGGAGCTGAACAGCCAGGCAGATGCTGGCAGTGTCCAGGGCAATTAATTACACCATGGCACAACCCATTTCACAGTGCCCTCGTTGCTTAAATTGGCTGGTGTAGTAGGAATTGGGATTTATTAATGAAACTACAGAAATACTTGCGCTTCTGGAGAGTGAATTAAGCACAGCATTAATTTGCACATCAAAACAAATTCAATTCCACATTCAGTTATAGTAACTGCAAGTGTAAATTAAACTCTTACTGTGAGGCCTCTAAGAGTCAAGAGTGTAAAGCAGTGATTTCTCTTGTAGCCTGCAAATAGAGGTTTGGTATTGCTGACTTGTAGTCTGTACTCCTGTGGCGGTGGTCTCCCCAGCGTGAGAAAAGTCAGTGAGCTTCTCTGGAGCTGGTGTTCTGCAGGGCCAGGCTCGGGCTGTGGGGATGAGGGGCACTGATGCTTTGCTTCCTCCCGCAGGCTGCAGGAGCAGCTGGCAGAGACCATCGAAGCCCTGCACGCCGCTGGCATGAAGGTGTGGGTGCTGACAGGGGACAAGATGGAAACGGCCAAATCCACCTGCTACGCCTGCAGGCTCTTCCAGACCAGCACGGAGCTGCTGGAGCTGACGGCGAGGACGGTGGGCGAGAGCGAAAGGAAGGAGGATCGGCTCCACGAGCTGCTGCTGGAGTACCACAAAAAGCTGATTCAGGACATTCCCAAAAACCGGGGGGGCCTGAAGAGGTGGGTGAGCCAGGGGACCCACCTTGCACGTTTCAGGTGCGGATTTGGTGGGGAAGCAGGGCTGTGCCGTGGGCCTGGGGACTGGTTCCCTGCAGACACTGTGAGAGGTTCCTTTGCTTTGCTCATCACCTCTGGTACTGTTGGCTTTGAGCTTTGTTGCACTGTTCCTTTAGTGAAGGGCACGTGCCAAGTCTGAGCTTTTTAAAATTGCTAAGCCCCGACAAATGGGTGGGAAGAAGATTAACCCAAAGCCAGCTTTTTCACTCAGATGATACAAGCAGCTAGGTTTAGTCTGGTTAAGTCTGACACGTGTTCCTCGTTGTGCCAGAAGCTGGACGTTGAGTCAGGAGTATGGACTGATCATAGACGGCTCGACGCTGTCGCTGATCCTCAACCCCTCGCAGGACTCTGGCTCCAGCAACTACAAAAGCATCTTCCTGCAGATCTGCCTGAAGTGCACGGCAGTGCTGTGCTGCCGGATGGCCCCTCTGCAGAAGGCACAGGTATTTATTTACCTCCCCTGCCCGAGCCCTGCCTGGGGACACGGCTGAGTTCACAGCTGGGGCTGCACCTCAGCATCCCAGTCAGGCAGGATTCCCCAGGCTGTGTGTGAGCCTCATCCGGGCTTCGGGGCGTGATGAAAGCACACCATTCTTTCCACTCTGAATGCAAACCCTTTGTTTGATATGCTGGCAGGAACCCATAAATCCAGGCCAGTTAGAAATAAACAAAACCTCCCAGTCTGCTCTTTTTTTGGTTTTCCTTTCCAAATTTGTCAAGTGGAGTCCGTGACTTCCTCATTCCAGCAGATGATGTCCCAGCCTGATAAGTGACGTGTTTCTGCACCCTGAGATGTGTGAGAACCCACCTTTGGGAGAACAGGGTCTGGCAGAAGGGCGGAGCAGGATGTTGCTGCTGGCTTTGTTTTTAAATACTGTCCTTCAGCCCTGCACAGCTGGACTGGGCTTCTGCTCTGGTTGTGACTGCAAAGCGAGTAAAGAGGGCTTTCATTAACCTCAGCTCCCCAGGTGTTACACTGCTGCTGTAAAAGCCTGATGGCTTGTCCTGGGGGGAGCAGTGGGAAGGGCTCTGGAGGCTTTTTAACTGAATTTTGGGTTCTGCTGCTGTCTTTTTTTTTAAATCCTCTAGATTGTGCGAATGGTGAAGAACACAAAAGGAAGCCCGATAACCCTCTCGATAGGGGATGGTGCAAATGATGTCAGTATGATTTTGGAAGCACATGTTGGAATAGGTAAGAGTCCCTGAAACACCCATCTCACAGCCCAGACCTGTCTGCTCTGGCTGGGGCTCACTACTGAGGTGCAGTTGGTATTTCTGATTGCATGTGGCTAAACCAATGCCACTGGAAAATGTGGGAAAACTATTCTTGCTTTCTTTGGAGGCAGAGTTTAACTCCAGATTCATGCTTGAGGTCATAGAATCGTGGAATAGTGTGTGTTGGAAGGGGCCTTTAAAGGGTAGTGAGCAGGGACTCCTGTAGTGAGCAGGGAGACCTTGAGCTCCATCAAGTGCCTCAGAGCTGTGCACAGCCTGACCTTGAATGCTCCCAGGAGTGGGGCATGCACAGCCTCCCTGGGCAGCCTGTGCCCCTGTTTTACCATCCCCATGTGGAAGAGAGAGATGAGATCATCTGCTGCTGCTCCCCTGTGCTAGCACCATTCTCTGTCAGTGGTCACTGCAGAGGATGTTCCCAAACTGTGACCATCTGGGGATGTCTCAGGAGGCTGAGCAGCTGCAGGGGAATAGCTGAGCTGTGTGAGATGCAGGCCAGCCCACGGGAACCGATCCCTTATCTCCCATCAGGTTTGCCTAGGCACCCTTTGCCACACTCTTACACAGGAAATCACAGAGCAGCCTAAATATAGCTTAAAAACTCCAGAGGCAGGTCTGAGTGCTGTGGAGCCAGAGCCACACAGAAAATACTCGTGTTTGGTCTCTTGGGGCACTCAGGAGGGAAACTCAGCCTTTGTCATGCCTTGAGCTGCTGAGTGATGTAAGCAAACCCAGTGGGCAGTGCCCAGATTCCAGCCCCTTTGGGATTAACCCTTGCCATGCTTCTGTCTGCAGGGATTAAAGGCAAAGAGGGACGCCAGGCCTCCAGAAACAGCGACTATGCTGTGCCAAAGTTCAAACACTTAAGAAAACTGCTACTAGCACATGGGCATTTATATTATGTGAGAATAGCACACCTTGTACAGTATTTCTTCTATAAGGTAAGGGGCAGTGTGCAGCTGATTTCTTTGTTTATCCTGTGCATTTCTTTGGCAATATAATAAAATAATAGGAAAAAAAATATGGGGGATATTCTGAAGCTGTGTTTTCCTTCCCTGGGACAGGCTGTGTCTGCCATGTGCCTGTCCATTGGAAACAGTGCTTTCAGGGGAATGTGAGCATTCTTCTAGTGTCTCCTGCAGATGCTAACTGCTCACTGGATTGGTTTTGTGCTTGATTGAGCAAGTGCCCTACCTTGTCTGATGTTGTAACGTCAGACACTAATGTCTGATAACAGGAAAAACTGCTGGGGTTTAGACTGAGAAGTCAAGTGCTTCCCTGCTGACCATTTGTCTTTTGTTTTCCTAGAACCTTTGCTTCATTTTACCACAGTTTTTATACCAGTTCTTTTGTGGATTCTCACAGCAGGTAACTTCCAGTAATTTGTCTATAAAGGCAAGATAAAAAGCAAGTGGCAGAATGAGGCCTCCTAGCAGAGATTTGGCTTTTGGCATCCTGTCTCTTCACCACCTTGCTCTAGAGGACAGCAGGAGCTGACCCTGTTGCTCAGCACCATATCTGGAACATAATAATCTGAGGCCATAACTGAAAAGACAGCATTTCCCATCCACCAGCTGTAAACACAGGTGGACACATTCCTGAAGTAGTGAGAGAAGGGTTTAGCTCGTTTGTCAGCACCTGATTTTGCTACTTCTGCTTTTCTTACAAGAACAAGTTTTGAATGGTTTCCTGATCTTGTCTCCTCTCCTGCATTTCACTGCATTAAAAATGTCACTCAGAAGGAAGAACAGTTCATTCTTTTATGTCTTTTAAAAAAAGACACACAGTGAGTGTTACCAGAGCTTTGTTTAATCCAAGTAAGCATCAGAGGGGCAGATCCATGTGGTGGGTGGGTTCCTGTGCTTGGAGACAAGAGCTTTGCCTTTTGTGTCAACTTAAGGGGCTTCTGTGTCTATCTGGGCTCAAAAGTAACGGGAAGAGTAAATGGTGAGAGAGAATTCTCTGCTTGTTTTGGCAGAAACACTTGCCTTTTTAAGAAAAGAACCTATAGTTCCTCTAAAACAGTCTAGTCTTCAGAGAGCCACAGGAGGCATCAGATGTATTAATAGAAACAGCAGCACAAGAGCAGCAAGGGGAAAGCTGTGGTGAGGGCTGGTCAGTCGTGTTTTCCTGGAGGATAAGCTGGAGATGAGAGCAGCCAGTCCCAAAACCTGCTGCCAGCAGGGGCAGGTTCTGGGCATGCAGCCTGCAGGGGCCTTGTTCCCCTTGCGCTGCACAGAGCACAGCTCCAGTGCAGGGGAGCTGTGCTGGGTGACAAAGGGAGGCATCTGGAGGGCGTGTGGGTGCTGGAAATGTATGGTTTCATTTCTTTGTGGAGAGGCATTTTTCTGTCTCATTTAACCCTTTCTTCCTCTTGAAAGCCGCTGTATGATGCTGCTTACCTGACCATGTACAACATCTGCTTCACGTCGCTGCCCATCCTGGCTTACAGCCTGCTGGAGCAGCACATCAGCATCGACACGCTGACCTCGGACCCTCAGCTCTACATGTGAGTAGGGCTGGGCTGGGTGCACCTCTGCACAGCTCTTAGCCATGGTTGGAGCTCTCCTGGAGTGTGAGCAGCTGCCCTGTCCTGTGACAGGGCTGGGGGCACCACCAGGTGCAGAAAAAGCCATTTCTGCCCTCCTGGCTCGGCTGTTCCCGCATTGAGTCTGAGCAGCCTTGTGGTCACTGCCTGCTGCTGCTTGTTTGTGCTCTGACAGTTCTGGTCTGGCAAACTGCACTGCTGTGTCTGGGAAAGGGTAAACTGTCGGTGGAACTCATCCAGAGAAGAATGGAGCTGTGAGTGTGGCCAGAGCATCCACTGACGTTACCTGTGAGCCAGGCACGTGATGGAGCGTGTAATGAGGGGTGCAGGAGGGGAGATGCAGCTTTCAGGAGCAAAAGGATCCATTCATTTTCAGAAAGATGAATGTTCCTGAAGCCCAGCTCAGGCAGGTGGTGTCTCAGCTTGTACAAATGGCTGTGTTCCCCAGGCTTGTCCTGCACAGCCAGGTCCCCTAACCACAGCCCAGGGAGCTCTGCCCATGGATCCACACACGGTTTTCTGCCACACTGCCCAGGGAAGGGACAGCTTGGGCTGTCTCCCTCTGCTTTGCTTCTTGTTTTCTCTCCTTGGCTGCAGCAGGGAGAGGCTCCAATCTTGCACAGAACCGGAGATGCTTTCCATTCTCCTCCCAGCCCTTCCCACACGTGTGCTTGGGGCAGCCCTTCAGCAAAGGCTGAGGAAGATGTGTTTTGGAGGAAACCCCTCTCTGTGCATCCTGTTGCTGATTCCCCAGCCTGGCAGTCAGCTGAGCCCTGTGGAAGAGGCCAGCTGGGGCTGCTTTGGCCAGTGGTGCTTTGGCTGTGATGCTCCTCAGCAGTGGAGGAGCCACGTGTGGCATGCTGTGCTCGAGCCAAGAGTGATGTCTGTGCAGAGACACCAAAGGGAGCTAGCAGGTGCCTAAAATACTGTGTCAGCGTTGCCTTAGCTATAGAAAAATCAGTGAATGCAACAAGAGCTGTAAGGCTGGGAAGGGGCTTGGGTGGTTTTGAAGTAAACACTCAGAGCCATGGTTGATTAGGGCTCTATATTCCTTCACTCCATGGCAAAATGCCACCGTTTGGATTTTTAAATGGCTTGGTAATTGAATATTGTGTGACAGAGCAATAGCAGCAGGCCCCTGTGCCTTCCCCTGGTGGGCTCTGTGGTCCCTGGGGTCTGTGTTTGAGGGGAAGCAGCCTCAGTGTGAACATTCGTGGCTGTGCATGTGCTGTGGCTGCAGAGCGCCCGCTGCGCTGCTGCTGGGGAAGTGCTGAGCTGCTGCAGTGCAGATCCGAGGCTGGAAAAGCCTGTTTGCCACCAGCACTGCAGGACAGAAACGGGAATGCAAAACAAGCTCACAGGGAGGAAGCTGCTTGTATTTTCTCTCTTTGCAATTCCCCACGCTTCCAGTCTGGCTTATCCTTGCTTCTCTGAGTTGTGCCATGTCAGAACGTGGTCACAGCACTGTCGTGTGCAGGTTTCAGTAGGATCTCATTTCAGAAACTGCTGTTATAGCAGCCCAGCCCTACACAGCTTTGCAGAGTGCATCTGGCTGAAAATGGGTGCATTGCTTTAGGAGTTAATGCAGAAACGGTGGGGACTGTACAGAAAGTAATCTGAGAAGGTAATGCTGCAGGGAGCTGTTTTTAACTCCCTCCTGCCCTGATAGCCGCCCTCTGCTCCCCAGGCCCTGTGTGTGGTCACTGCAGAGCTTTGCTCATGGCCCATCCCTTTGCTGCTGCTGCCTCCATGCCAGATCTCATCCTGTATTCAGCCAAGAGCCTCCTGCTACAACCCCTGTGATAAAAACACCCACCATACAGTTCAGGAGGTTATTTTCAGCCTGTGCAGAAAAGCACCAGGGAACAGGACTTGCAGAGCTTTTCTCAAAAAATAACTTTGTGCATTCAACAAAAAGAGGGAAGCACACCATGGATTTCATGCATCCCATAGTGCTGCTCTTTAGCCTTACCCTGCCTTTAAAATGTAGCAGGTAATGTCAGATACCATGGGCAGCTCAGGGGCTGCAGGAGAGGTTCAGGACAGCATTGCCTCTGTTCACTTTGTGCTTTTTTCCTCCAAGTTACCTAGAAGAGAAAGACAATTCATATGCCGAACCTCTTGTGACTTCTCATGATCAGCAGTTGCATGTTAGAAGTGTTCTGTATGTCCTGGAAGGTATTTTTGTGGTTTCCCTCCTTGTCTCCTGCTGCAAGGGCTTGCTCCAAAGCCCCCAGTCCCCTGCTGTGAGGGTTTTGCAGCACCTGCTCAGCGTGGTGGTGATGGTCTTGTCACTGCATCTCTTGCAGGAAGGTGTCGGACAATGCGATGCTGCAGTGGAGGCCCTTCCTGTACTGGACCTTTCTGGGCGCCTTTGAAGGACTCGTGTTTTTCTTTGGGGTTTATTTTCTTTTTCAAAACTCTTCGTTGGAAGACAACGGAAAGGTAACGCCCCAGCAGAAAGGAGGATGAGTGTTGGAGTGTTCTGTTGTGTGTGCTGCCTCTGCTGCGCCTGGCAGGGAATATCTGCTTAATCTGTGCGCTGTGTCTCGAGTCCTGTCAGCACTGCAGCCTTGCTTATGGTGTGATCCTGCAGCAAATGCTTCAAATAAAAGCAGCCTTGCTTATGGTGTGATCCTGCAGCAAATGCTTGAAACAAAAGCGGTCCCAGATCTCAGGGGAACGGGGCAGAGCTGGTTACCCTCCCCAGGTGAAGTGATGGTCCTGCACACAGCTCTGAGCCTCGCACAGCGCTCATCCCCTCCTGGGTGATCCGGGGCAGGAGCAGTGGCTGTCCTTCCCCAGTGACAGCTGGAATGGGCTGTGCTGGGCTGGCTCTCAGCAGCTCAGCCAGCCCAGCTTGAGGAGATGCTGCTGGTTAGGGTGTGGGGCTGCTGGCGTGCTGTGCCTGCCTGGGGCTGGGATTTCAGCCAGGGAGGCTGGGGCTGCCCTTTTGCTCCACTCAAAGCCTTTTGCTCCTCTTTTGGAGCCAGCAGAAGTCCCCAGCTGCTGGAGGCAGCAGGATGTTGTCCCTGCTGCCTGCTCGCCCGTGCCTCTGCTGTGGGGATGAGTTATTGCATTGCTGTGGGAGCTGCTGGCGTGAACTTGCACAGGAAGAGGAGGAAGAAAGATGGAGGGTTTTTTATTTTTAATTTTTTTTTTTTTCTTACTTTGCTGGTTAACTGAGTAAAGAGCCAAGCATTAGTGCAGGGCAGCTGCCAGGGTGGTGGTCTGAGCTGTTTCAGGGCCCTTTCCCCAAGGAAATGTGCATGTTACTAGATTCTGGCTGGTTGGAAACTTCTTTACACCATCACCTGTGGCCCTTGAAAATACCAAAACTCTTTTTAGCAGCTAACACTTGGAGAAAAGCTGATAAATTTATGTATTTATATTTATGCATTGCATCAGTGCCAGCATTTATGGCCCCAGCTATATGCAGTCAAGCCCCTGTATTGTCAGATCAGTGCTCTTCTGTATCTGTAGCCACTCTGGTTGGGTTGGATGAAACATGAAGCACTGATGTGTTCTGTAAATGCCTTCAGAGGTCAAGTCTGTGTGGCACTACAGTAAGATCTGTGGTTATGTCCTGTAAACACTTAGGCCTGTAAGAACTGCTACCAGCAATTGTTCATAATATCCACGTCTGTTTGATTAACTCGTTTTTCACGCCTATTGACTTTAATTTTTTTGCATTTTTTGGAAACTTTTACATTTCACTTTCTGTTTTAACGTATGCATTCAGAACTTGACAGCCTTTGGTAAGCACCTCTCCCATTCATTGCCATCACTGGGTTTATATGCAGTATCTGCTTTTCTTTGTGTGCGTAGTCACTAGTACCCACAGACCAAACCAGCTGGATCAGTACCCACAGACCAAACCAGCTGGGTCAGTACCCACTGCTGCATTCTGCAGAGGGGGCTGCAGAGAGAGGATGATGATGATGGTGATGAGTGTGGCGAGAAAGCAGAAACTGAGTAAATTGCCAGGCAACCCCGAGCTGCAGGTGGTGCAGTGACTTGTGTCCTGGACCCACACTGCTGTTAGTAGGAGTTGTGTCTGTCACCGTCCTGGCCCTGGTCACCCGTCTGTCCGTGTGGCACTGCATGGCTCAAGGAGATGTGCTGGGGGCTGTCTGAGGGTCCGTGTGCTGGGGGCTGTCCGTGTGCCAGGGGCTGTCCCAGTGTCCGTGTGCTGGGGGCTGTCTGTGTCCCAGGAGCTGTCCCAGTGTCCGTGTTCCAGGAGCTGTCCCAGTGTCCGTGTTCCAGGAGCTGTCCCAGTGTCCGTGTCCCGTGTCCCGTGGCTCTGTCCCGCTCTGCTCCCTGCCTGCCCCTGCCCCTGCCCCTGTCCCTGTCCCACTCTGTGCCCCCGGGAAGGGCTGGCAGAGGGGCTGGGGCGCCTGTGGCAGTGCCGGCTGTTTTGCAGGTGTTTGGAAACTGGACCTTTGGGACCATTGTCTTCACCGTGCTGGTGTTCACCGTCACGCTCAAGGTCAGCATCTCCCCTCCCTGCTCAGCCTGCCAAGGCTCCTGTGTGCGCTGTAGAATCATGTGGTGACTGCTGAAGTCTCTGAGGATTTTCCACCACACTTAAATCTTCTCCCATAGAGGCAGAACCCGCTTACTTTCCTTTGTGTAGTCTGTGGTCTTTAAGTGCTTGTTCTGTTTAAATTATTTTTATATTTTCCCCTGTTTTGAGGACTGCAGTTAGTTATGGTTGACTTTTCCCCACGCTTTCACCTCGTGATGTTCAGTTCCAGCAAGAGCAGAGGAGCAATAGTGAATTTGGGTTTGTCCACCTTGTTTCTGACAAGGCCGAGTGCCAAAGTGATCACAAAAGCACACATGTCACATAACAATAGCAAATCTGTTTTCTTTCATGGAGCTTTCCAGAACAAACTGTTTGCATAAGACCTTACAAAAGGTCTTTGGTGTTTGGTTCAGGACAGCAGGTGGTGACAAGAGGCAATTACAGTCCCTGTAACCTTTAGACATTTCTTTCCTGTAACATCAGGTTGCATCAAATTTATTCAATTTAAGAGTGTCACTCACAACTAGAATGTCACTGCTTCCCTGCTAACGTTGTGCCAGACTGTGGACACTGGAAATGTTTTTGCTGGTGCCCATATGCACAGAAGTGGCTGTTTGGAGAGCCTTCAGCCTTAATGTGAAAGCAGGCTGAAATTTCATATAAACACCATGCAGTGCACTCTGCACCTAAAGCCTGTTTGTTTTTTCTCTTTATTCCCACAGCTGGCGTTAGACACCCGGTTCTGGACGTGGATGAACCACTTTGTGATCTGGGGCTCCCTTGCTTTCTATGTGTTTTTCTCATTCTTCTGGGGAGGAGTCATTTGGCAAGTATCTTTTCCTTTCCCTGGCCTTTCTCGGGGGATGCGCAGTGCAGGTTTGGCAGTGCAGCATCCCCTCCTCAGGGGACTCCTGGGGTTTGCAGGTGCAAGGTGTGTGCAGCCCTGCCTCCCTCCAGCACCCACCAGGGCAGTGCTGGAAGAGGGCTGGGGCAGGATGAGGTGTTTGAGGAGGTCTGAGCCTGAAGGAGAGACAGCCTGGGCATCATCCAGGTGCTCAGCCTTGGCAGGGGTGTTTGCTTTTCTGCTGCTGAGGCTCTTGTCTTTATTGGGAGGTTCTGGAGTAAACCTTTAGGGTCTGTGTGTGTGGAGGAGAGAGACAGAAAGAATTTGTGTGGAAAGAAGCCCAGTGAAAACAGAAGGAACAGGTGAGGCAGAGTCAGAGCAACAGGACCTGGCCCTGTGGGACAGAGGGAAAAATAAGCAGGAGAAAGCCAGTCCTGGTGTTGAAATCATGGATCTGAGTAGAAGAAATTCTCACTGATCTGAGTGCACCCAGGATTTTTGGCTTACTGTGTTGCAAAAGCAGGTGAGCAGTAGTACACTACAGACATGACTGGTTTTGTATTTCCTGTGCTGCAGCAAATGTTCAGTTGATATTGACAGTGGGCAGCATCTCTGCTTTACACCTCTGCTCTGCCGTGGGCTATTGCCTGCATCCTGATCCAGCAACCTGCTAATGAGGATGTGGGACAGATTTAAATACTTCGTGTGGGGGTCACAAGCTTTAGCTCTTCAGTTAAGTTTTGCTGACCAGCAGATCCAGATCTGCAATCTAGCCACAGCTCTATGCTAAATGTGTGAGTTTTCTACTGAAAACTTGCACAGCTCAATATTTTTGATCCAACAGTAAGCAAAAACTGCTTTGGGATCCTTGTCATCACTTATTGATGAGGTGTTTTTCACAAGCATCTGTTGGTTGCTCTCCCTCACCAAGGAAAGGAGGAAGGGGCAAATAACCTGTTGTGAGAGAGAGACTCTGGATTTCCACTATCAAAGCCAAGCCAGAAGCTATAGCAAAGCCTGATGTTGAAATACAATGATCTGGTTTTTGATGAGGTGAATAATTTATCTTTCAGTGATGGTGGCTAAATTCAAACCCCTTCCCACCCTGAAAAGAAACAGATGTGGGAGATGCAAAATGGATCATGACAATATTCCAGAAACAGTGCAGCTGGAGGCAGGAGATGGATTAGGAGAAAGATGGACAGTGGGTTTCTGTGCTGTATCCCTCTGTCTGAAAGGGAGGCATAACTGCTAATAGCTTTACCTGAAGTCTCCTTTAATTCTGATCTTCTTGGAAAACCCACATTAACCGGAATTTATTTGTATCCTTTCTTTTTCAGGCCTTTCTTGAAGCAGCAAAGAATGTATTTTGTATTTGCTCATATGCTGACTTCTGTTTCCACATGGCTGGCAATAATTCTCCTGATCTTTATCAGCCTTTTCCCAGAAATTCTTCTAATAGTTTTAAAAAATATAAAAGAGAAGAATCATCAGGTAAGGAACAAGATGATGCATCACACTGTATTTTTAGGAAGACTGTTCCTACCCTTAGGCACCAGATGAACCTCTTAACAATACCACGTACCACTCACATCTCCAGGAAGGCTTTCTAGAGTCTTGTCTTGCTCTTTCACATGCCAAAAATATCGAAAAGTTATTTTAAAAATACTGCCTAGATCTGTAGCAGGGAGAGAGTCAACCTGTGCCTTTGCTTAGCTGCCTTCCCTGGTGTCTCCTAGAGAAGTGCTAAGCCTTGTCCAGCCTGAACTGATCACCAAACACACTTTATCTTGTCCTGAAAACACCTGCTAGATTTTGTGCCAGAAAAGCAGGATGCTGCCCCGGGTATGTCCTCAGGGGCTGTGCAGTGGGAGCAGGGTCGGGTCTTGTCACGTTTGCCCATCCTGCATCACTGACCAGAGGCTCAGACCACCATGGTCACTCTCCCTGGGAGCTGTCTGGTTTCTTAGCAGCTTTCCTTCACTGCTGGGGAGCAGGACACACTTTAGAAGTGGAAACCTCTGAAGTTTTCTCCTTTGCTCCTGCAAGTGGTGAGGGCCAGCCCTGCCAGGCTGGCTGTGCTGAGCCCCTGCCCTTGTCTCTCCCCTGGCCATGCTCCCCCTCCTGCAGCAGCTCTCCTGCCCTGCAGCCCAGCAGGTCCTGCCCTGGGCCAGCAGCTGGGGATTGCCAGCCAGCCCTGGCCTCGTGCCCTGGGCTCTGTGTGTGCCAGGGCTGCAGCAGGGCATGGCTGAGGGGACATGGGGTGGGTCACATGCGGTCAGGTAACCTCAGCCCTGGTCACTGCAGGAGTCACAGCATGGTTTGGGGTGCAAGGCTCCCTAAAGATCACCCAATTCCAGCCCCTGCCATGGGCAGGGAGCTGTTCCCTAGGTCAGATGTTCCCAGATGTTCCCTAGGTCACATTGCTCAGAGCCCCATCCTGCCTGGCCTTGGGCACTCCCAGGGATGGGCATCATTAAAGCTGAAAACAGTGGGGATGGTAAAATGCTGTGGTTGTGTTTTGTGAGGATCCATGTAACTTCTTCACTTGAGTGTGGTTTAAAAGTTTCTAGCTGGCCACCCCATTGACTAGGCTGGGAGAGAGGTGCTCTCAGCTGCAGACGTGGGACACTTTGGGACAGTGCCTGGAAGGAGGACCTGGGGATTTCTGAGCCCCAGCTCAACTCACCTGGGAGGGGACCTGGTTTGCCCTCAGCTGCTGACCAAAGATCCTTTCCCTCTTGCAATACTTACTTTCAAGAGTGCTTTTAATTCATTTAACAAAGGCTCTTGTGAAATCACTCAGCAAAGCAAAGTGAGTGTCAACTAGAAAAGTCTCTTCAGATCTGCATCCCAAACTAAACACAGGCTGAGCCATATTTAAATGTACATTTTGAGTAAGAGCTTTATTACAAGTGCCTGAAGGAGATACCAGCTCTGGATATCTGTGTGAGCCATCAGGCACCAAAGTCAGCTGCCTGATTTGTAAAGGCATCTAGGACCAGATAGATCATTTCAAATCAAAACCCTTGTTGAGAATCCTGACCTTAATGTTGAAATAAAATAAAGATCAGTGTTCCAAGGGAAACATACAGTGGAAAACAAAATTAAGGACATTTTAAGGGGGCCTGAAGCACAGCTTGGTGGCCAAGGGTCCCTTCTGGGAGGGGAGGACAGGCTTAGGCCAGGTTGTTGGGCATTTGCCCTTGATCCCTGTGGGACAGGGTTTCACCCCCAGTTTCCTATAACACAGCACATCAGCTCTGCTCAGCCTTTATTAAATTTTCTGTGTGGTAATGTGGTGGTTGTTTTTATTTTGTTTTGGTTCTGTTTGGTTTTTTTTAACTGCAAGGCGCATTTGTGTTTTCCTTGGTTTCTGCCTTTCTCTTTCTTGTACTGCAATTTTCTGTCTTTTGTGCTGTTGTGAACTAGGTAACGAAGCGCCTTCCTTCCTCAGGAACATCCACTATCTTCATGCTTTCTCAAACTTCCAGCAATCACAGCTTTTCTTGGAGTGAATAAGGTGATTTCCTTTCTGAGTCACAATGTGTTGCTTGCTCGACTGCTTTTTTCTTCCTTCTGATGCCTAACTCCTGAAAACCCACCTTTAATTTGCTCACACAGCAGAACCTTGCTTTTCCCCACCTTCTGCCTTAATTTCAATCTTTTGCTTAACTATTCCGTCTGTCTCTCCCCCTTGGGTCTCTTGCTGCCCCTCAGGTGGGTGAGCTGGTCGTGCTCAGGTGAGGTGGACACAGACAAAGGTGGTGACTCTCTCCCTCCTTGCTGTAGGTTTGTGTCACTGGGCCAGATAGGAGTGGGACGAGGTGGGATTGGTGCTGATAGTCCCCTGGATGGCTTGTCTGACCCTGGAGGGGCTCCCCAGTGCCCACCTGCCCCGTCCATCCCGTTAGTCAGTGCTGCTGTGCTTTGTGCGAGTGGTCAGCACATCCCACAGCCCTCACATCAGGGGTGGTTTTGGACTTGCTGGCCATGGGGCTGGTGGGGTCACCCACAGCAGAGCCCCTCGACTGCACGTCCCCAGTGTCTGCATTCACTGCAGATCTCCACCGTGGCTTGCTGTTCTGAGAACACCAGTTGTGTGGAGATGGGGATGTCGTGCTCCTCCCCCAAAGGCACCTGCAGCATAAATCCCAAACGTTTTGGGGAGCAGGGCTGGTTCTGCGTTCCTCCCGTGCCTCTTGCAGGTCTGGTGGCAGTGTGGCTGCCACCCTGTGTGAGCTGGGGTGGCTGTGTGGGCTGCACTGGAGCAGGCAGGTGAGCTCGGGGTGCTATAAGTCTCTTTGCCTCGCTGTTGCAGAGCAGCAGGAAGGCACCTGATTCATTGTCGGCCAGACCTTCTGCCACACCACTCCTTTTAAGAACATTCTCAGATGAGTCTAATGTGTTGTAACAGGTACCCTGTCCAGAGGAGTTGGGATGGTTGTGGTGGCATTGATTAACCAAATGTAACCCCCTCCAAATCAATTAAACCACGGTTCTTGTAATCCTCTCAACTATTGGTGTGGGCACCTGTCCTTGTGGAATGGAGATGCAATGCTTGGGATGCATTTTAATTTGGGGATGTTGTGCTATCCAGCTTCATCAGAATCCCATATCTATGTAGATCCTTTCAAATATTTGGCAAAATGTAAACAAATCTTTCAATCTGACTGCTACTTCTGTCTAATATCAGCACAATATTTAATTTGAGAGTGCAGCCTGAATTTTGCTAACACTGGTTCTAAAAGCTAATGCTGATACATTTACAGTGAAGGATGGAAACCTCAGTTGTTAAAATGATTCCAGTATTGCATCTGAATTGTACCAAAATCCCTTTCTCTAGGGTGCATGCTGTTCTGTCAGATAGAAATAAGTGTGTTTTTAATTCCATCCAGATGGAAACTAAACACATGTACTCGTGTGTGTGTGTCAGCACATGGGACAGAGGCATGTCTCGGTGTCCGTGTGTCTGCACACACACCCGGAGCATCCTCGTACGAGTTGATTTTAAACTTTGTAGTGAGCCAATAGCAGAATAAAAAAGGAAAAGTGCCTAATTGAATTCACAATTCTGTGTTTAGGGGAGATGTTGTGTGTGGTGGCTGCTGCAAACATAAGCCTGCAGACTAGCTACACCTCTCACAGCTTTGTGCCCACACTGCTGCTAAAGAGATCAGATTTATGGGCATGGCAGGCCAGCAGCCAGCCTTGCCAGGCCTCAGTGCAGTGGCACCCATTCTGTGCAGCCAGTCCTTCCCTCTGGCATTAGGTGGTGCTCTCCACCTCCACTTACTGGTGCAGACTGGTGTGGGAGGCGGCTGGACCAGCACAGAACAGGAGCTGCAGGGGGCAGTGGCAGATGCTGCTCTTAGACTTCATGCAGCGCTTTGCAAATTGTGAAAATTGATTTATCATCTGATTACTTGGTTGTGAATGATATTTGGCACTTTTATCATGGCCTAATCATTCTTCTTCTATGTATTTTTTTAAATCTCCCAGGAAAAGGTTAATGGGTTTTGGAATGTAACAGTTGCAATCCATGTTTGTTTTCCTTCTGATTTTTGCAGGCTGGCCCCTTTGATCTGCCTGTGTTAGTGTCATACAAACGTATAGAGAATGGTTATGTGAAGGCTGAAGATGCTGTTACTAATTTGGCAGAGAGATATCCTCTCAGGATACCTTAAAGTGCTCCACACAAACACTGCACGTTGCCATGCTGTAGGAAACCCATGGTTTAACCTGGCAGTGACCTGTGATAGCACCAAGGACTCTGAGCAGCCAGGGCACTGGCCCCATGCTACCCGTTAGTCTTTGGTCTTGAGGCTTCCCTGCCCTCCCAGAAAAACCAATTCTGCCAAATCCTACAGCACTGGAGGCTGAGAAACATCTTTAGGAGTTCACCCAAAGCAGCGTGGATTGAAGTGCAAGAGTGCAGTGCCAGCCCCGTTTCACACGAGGCTCCTGTGCCGCTGCAGATCTGCCCGAGAGCAGCAGGGCTGCTCCCAGCTCTGCTCTGCCTGACCAAAGAAGTAGCACAGACTTCAACCCGGTGACATTCCCCTCCAGCCCCCGCAGGCCCTGGGAAGAGGCTGCTCCCCTCGCACAGGAGGTGGATGCAGCCCTGGACCCCTCTCCTGGTGCTGGGGCCGTGCTGCCACGGGCAGGATCAGCTGAAATTCGGGAGAAATCTTTGCCACTCTCTCCTCCAGGTGGAGCTGGGAGCGGTCCGTGGTCTGTCCACAGCAGCGGTGGCCACGTGAAGAGCTGCAGTGCTGGGAAGTGCCAGAGCATCCTCCCACAACCAGTTTGCTGATGGGTTTATTCCTGCTGGAGAGCGAAGAGAAGGTTTTGTGGCTGTGATGGAAGGAAGCTTTCGTGGGGGAAAAAGGAATGCCAGAAGCTGGGCTGTGCCAGACTCTGAGCCCCAGTGGCCAGGCTCCTGTGGCTGTGCCAGACTCTGAGCCCCAGTGGCCAGGCTCCTGTGGCTGTGCTTGCGTTACTGCACTGTGCAGTTGCTCCAACACTTCAGAGGGACAGAGCAGTCCTTGGCTGATCCCAGGGACATGGGCTGTGCCTGTCAACCTGCAGGTGTATCAAACTGCATCTTGAGTTATTTGCACTAAGAAAAAAGAAGACAGTTTAAAATTGAGTACATTAACCTGATTTCATTTTACATCTTGTTTTTTAAATTGGCATGTTCTTTTTTAAATCTACCTGTACCATGGTGGTAGGACTTTGCTCTTTAGGTTCTGCACAGCAAAGGTGAGATGCCTGACTCAGTATTTTTTTTTCCTCTGATAGTTCATGTGTGGAAAGAGCAGCTTCTCTGGTTGTGTTAAGTCATGAGCAGTGGCAGAGCAGCCCGTGTGCTCCTGCTGGTTGGTGTGACGGTCCCTCCCTGGTGCTGTGTCCCAGAGGAGCTCCTGTGAGCAGCTTTGGGGCTGGTTTCAGGAGCAGCAAGCTCTGCACTGCCGCTGGCTTTGGTCCCGCTCGCTCAGCTGTGTGTCGTGTCTGTACAACAGGACAGTTTGGACTGCACAGAACATCCCCCTCACCAGATTTTGTTGAACTGCAGACTATTAACTTTTGGAAGAACCAAGCCTTGCTCTCTGGTGCCATCCCTGCTCTGTCTGCAGCTGGTGCGGCTCAGCTGCCGGCAAAGCCTCTGGTGCATCGTGGGGATGTTGGATGGGCCTCACCTGAGTGGGAGAGGGGAGTGCACAGCCCCTGGGGCTGCTCTGCCATCCCCAGCGTGGCAGGGCACGGGGGACAGGGGCACAGTGTGATGTGCTCTGCGCTGGCACGGGTGGGGTCTGCGCCGAGCCAGCGAGCGCGGCTCAGCTCCGTGCTGCACTGCCAGCATGTGTCCATGGGCAAAGCTTTCATTTTCTTCTTTTGTTTTGGTTTTTTTTCCTCTTTTCCTAGCTCATTTCACAGACCTAGAATTCAACTTGCAGACCTTGTCCCGTGCTCAACTTTCCTTGCAGAAATGTGGTGCCTACAGATCAAGTATACGATGAATGCAATGAAGATGTGCTCTATATGCCAAATCTAACCATTCTCCTTAAATACACGGTTGCTGACTTGTGTTTACATAACCTCTAAAAAATGGGCACTAAAATGCCCAATTCCTGTGATTCAGAACCATTCCAAGCCCGAATGGTCCCAGGCAGGACACCTTGCTTCCCAGTTTGTTTTGTCATGCTCTGCTCCAAGGGTCACTCTGTTCCCATGGAATCCCACTGGCGGTGTCAGTGGGAACAGTGGAGCCTCGTGTGTGTGAACTGTTCAAATAATCACGGAACCAGGATAATTTCTGCTGCCTGGCCCAAGACAGAGCCTTCTGAGAACCAAACCTTTCTCTGGGCATTTCCAAGTGTCCTGTCTCCAGCTGGAACAAGCCATTGCAACAGCTGTGTGTTCAAGCCCGAGGTGTGTGTGCTGACAGGCAGGCTGGCATTCATCTGGAGTGTTTTGAATAGCAAGAAAATGCAGTTTTTCTTGGGCTTGGATCTTCAGATGGTGCACTGGTGTAGTGCTGGGTGCCAGGACAGCCAGGCTGCCCTGGTCCTGCAGGAGAGCTGATCCTCAGTGGCACTCAGCAGTGCCAAAAGCAGAATTCCGGGTGCTGTGGTGGCTTGTGAAATCAGGGGGAGCAGGAGACCCCTCCTGAGGCTGGAGGGGGGCAGGAGTGGCGGTGGGGCTGTCAGTGAGGCAGCAGTGGGACAGGGGTGCTGTGCTGGGTGCTCGTGTTCCTGATGCTCACGGTGCTCCTGAGGTACAGCAAAAGGTCAGTACAGGCTTCTCGGTGGAGAAACTTGAAGGAAAAAAGGCTGGGGTTTTCTCATAATAATTGGTTGAAGTTTTATCACTGACTAGTGACACTGAAAGATAAGGAAAGTAATTAAGATTCCCTCTAAAACTCCTATGTGATAACAGTGGAGCTTGGTGTAGTCATAGCGACTTTTCAAAAACTAATCCTAATCATTATGAGAATATTATAAATGACTTGGAATTGCATAAAAGCTTCAAATTAAGTTTGTATACACACAGTTGAAAACCTTTCCTAATACTTCACCATTTATCAAATTTCCCAGCTATGTTTTTTTTTTTTTTTAAATGTAGTGTACAGAAAATGTAAATTATATACAGGCAATGAGCAGATACATTTTCAGCTTCTTGCAAAGAAAAAGGACTGCAACCTTACATTTTTTTCACTTAAATGCAATTTTATACATTTATGTTGCTTTATATCAAGGAAATTGAATGTGAATGTTACCTTTTATGAATGCAACTTGCTCTTTTTTCATTACAGAAACTTTTGTTTGAAGTAATCAATAAACTTTGGTATGTTGTTCTGATTAATATATATTGGTTGTCTCTCTCATCTCCTTGGATACTCCTAGGGGGTGATTGATTGTGTGGGCTTTTCCAGGGCAGTACTAGGGGCACAAGCAGCATTTCCACAGTGGGTGGGTGCCAGCTTGGTTCTCTGCTGTGGAGCAGCATTTGCCTAAGGAAATACTGCTTGCTTCTCATACATTTTTATTTTTCCAGCAGCGTATCAGCAGTTGTGGGTATCAGCTGCTGCACATAGCTGGCCTGTGTGCTCTCAACTCATTTCTCTCAAAACGAATGTTTAATTATGAAAGTGAATCCTGTGAATTAAATGTATAAATTGATTTAACTTTCTAGAATAGGTGAACCCAGGGCTTCAGCTGACATTTAGGAGCTGGCTGATAAAAATGTCGGTCCCTGTGCCTGATTTCCATTCACTTTCCATGTTTTCCTTACTGCTCTTTTGTTTCTTGGTTCTGTGTCGTGGCTACCTGTAATAAATAAGTATTTTTTAGTTCAAAGCCCAAAGTACACAAACAAGGTTTGCAAAGTGCCTGATGCTGGTGAGGTTCAGGCCCAATATTTGCATTCATGAAATTCCAACAAGAGGCGGAAACTGCTGAAGCACGACTCGCAGTGTTTGTATAATGCACAAGAAATATATAGACTTAACTTTCTTTTTAAGGACACAGCTCTGTTTCAAACTGAAGTGTTTGTAATGAGAAAGTGACAGTTAGAAAAATTCTGTTTTGGCTGCTTGGACCCCCGCAGGACAGATGGCTGAGCTATTTAAAACAAACCCTAACCTTTCCCAGCAGCTCGTACTATTGGAAACCAGAGCCACGCACTGAGAATTGCAATGGCACCGTGAGTGGTGGTGGGGATGGCTGCAGGGATTTCACTGGGAGCTGCCTGCCGGGCCAAAAGCTGTCAGTGCGGGTCCCAGGGTATTCCAGAGAGCGCCAAAATCATCCCAGAGAGCGCCAAAATCATCCCAGAGAGCGCCAAAATCACCCAGAGAGCGCCAAAATCACCCAGAGAGTGCCAAAATCATTCCAGAGAGCGCCAAAATCATCCAGAGAGCGCCAAAATCATCCCAGAGCACCAAAATTAGCATTTAAAACACCCGTGCAGCCCTCCTTGTTAGAAAGGAGAAGCAGTGTCGCGCTGTAAGGTGGTTTTTGACAAGGACAGCAGTTTTTGAAGGTCAGGCTGCTGGCGTGTGAGGGGTCGTGGTGTCCCTGTCCCTGCTGTCCCCTGCAGCTGCTGCAGGACATGCACCCGCAGCTGCTGCACTGGGCTTTGCTGCTTGGCTTTTCACCCGTCTGGGGATAACCTGCCGAGCTGGAAAATACCCAGTGGCCTGGAGAAAGGGTGTGTGTGTGTGCCTGTGAGTGTCTGTCCAGAGCCAGGAGCTGTACCAGCAAACGAGGCAGCTCTGACTGGCGCAGGGGGAAAGTGAGGGGGGAGAACAGTGGAGCCCTTTTTTATTTCCACATGCAAGTAGGAGACATGAAATCCTCCTCCTGATTGAATCTGTGCAGGTGGGGCTGGCTTCGGTGGGGCCGGGATTTCTGCAGGCTCTGGAGGGTCTGTGCGTGGAGCAGCTTGGGAAGAGCCACACTGGGCACTACCTCTGGGGTGGGGGTGATGTCTGCACAAGAAATCCTAAAATCCTGCTCCCGAAAACCAGCCTGAGGTTAATTACTCTTCTGCACAAGTAGTTTGCTGTGGCTGTGCTTTCTCCAGAGGTGAGCAATTCCCTTGGACATCACTTTGACTCTAACCTGTGTTTAGCCACTCTGTTTTTCCAGTTCTCAGCACTTGACTGAACAGGTATTTTTGATGGGCGATTTCTCAAATCCAAATAATGGCTCCAGTCTCAACCCAACCTGCTAGCCTTAATCTGGGAAAGGGGAAAAAAATTGGGTTTTGTTTCAAATTCAAGAGGTTTAGAATTCTGTTTGAGTGGGATTTTTCAGCCCCTGATCTGGAATTAATGAAATTAGTTGGAATTCTTCCTACTCCTTCTCCCTAAGATTAGATTGAAGGATGAGGCATTGCACCCACATGAAATAAATCTCTGCAAACAGGTGCTGTCAGGATTTTCCACAGCTTTAAAGGGCTCTTGCCCCTCACACAGCAGTTTGTATGTGCCACCCTCAGAGCGCTGAACATTGCTGTCGGGCCTGGGCAGGAGATGCTGAAGGAGAAGCAGCCGATTTCTGGCTGTTGTTTCCTTTCTAACCTGTCTCCTTGCTGCTCCCTCTCAGTTTGGCATCCCTGGGCAGGCAGGGGCAGCAGCTGCAGGAGCTGCTGGCAGCACAACTGGGCAGCTGGAGGATGTGCAGTGGCATTTGCAGCGAGGTGCCCCAGGGGAGGAGGCTCTGGGCAGCCTGGGCTCCAGCCTGGGTCTCGGTGGCCGTGAGGAAGAGCCCAGAGTTGCCCTGCATGTGAGTGAGCCCAGCAGGCTGAGCTGCCTGCAGCAGTGCAGCTCTGGCTGCAGGATGCTGCCAGCACCCAGCCCAGCCCAGCTGGGGCATCACTGTGGCTGCAGGGACCTGACCCAGATCCTCTCTTAAAGCTTTGTTCAGAGAGCAGGGAATGGATGGATTGTGCAGCCTTGGGGGCCACAGCTGCATCTTCTGCTGGGTGCCTTCAATTTCCCAAAATCCTGGGTCAGAGGTGGCTGTGACACGCAGTGGGGACGAGTCCCAGCTGCAGCAGAGCATCCCCTGCTCGCTGGTGGGCACACCAGGGACCTGGATGGGTTCTGTTCCTCCCAGAGCCGTGGCAGTTTAGACAAACAGCATTCCTGCGGTAAGAACACAGCAGCAATGTGGCAAGGCTCTTTCTTGACTTGCAGCCTTGTGTATCAGACTGATTTTTTCACCAGTAACTGCACGTGAACTCTCCCTGTCACACAAGAAGTGCTTTATGACCAGACAAAACCATCTATCTAAACTGTTTGGTAGTGGAACCTGCTGCGTCACGACCAAGGAGCGCTGACTGACTGGGTTGTTTTTCCTTGAAAAATCTGTATCAGTGTAAGAAGGGCCTACCAAAAGATGCTGTGTTTTGTATTACCACTGTTAGACCACGGCTCTTTAATTAATAGCCCTGACTGCTGAAGTGTTGGAAAAGGCTGCTGCTATAGTAAAGAGCATAATTAAAAGGTTGTTTTGGAAAAACAGGAACATCTACTTCTCCATGCTGCCTTCCTGGACAGGTCAGGCTCCTGTCGAGACTGAGCTGGCATCGTTTGAACCTCAGCATCAGGAAAAGTGACAATGACGGGTCAGCCCAGTGCTGTGCCTGGAGCTCTGGCCAGCGCTGGCTGTACAAGGGTTAACGTAGTTCTTATAAATCGTTCAAGGAATTTGCTAGAATGCTGCTTGCAGAGGATGGAAATGCCTTTTTTTTTTTTTTTCCCCTACAGAAGTGCTATAGGCACTAAGACAGGGAGTAACTCCAGCTGCAGGGTGGGTTGCTGGGGGGCACTGGTATAGTGGTAAATTAAAGAACAAAAAAAAGCAATCCAAGGGGAGGAAAAGGAAAGAAAGGGGGAAAGGGAGAGAAAGGGAAAGGGGGAGAAGGAAGAGAAAAACAGGAACGGGAACAGAAAGAAATACTGGAAAAAAGACTAAAAAGAAGAGGCAAAAGAGGAAAAATAGGGCAATGGAAAAAAGGGAATGGAAAGGGGGAAAAGAAAAAGGGGAAAAAAGAGGGGAAGAGGGAGGAGAAGGGGGGGGAAGAGAGTAAACTAAAGAAACAAGAAAAAATAGGGAAAGAGGAAAGGAAGGGGAAGAATCACGGGGGAAGAGGGGGAAAAAAGGAAACAAACACCGGGAAGGAGAAACCGGGGAAGGGGCTAAAAAAAAAAATAAAGTGAAAAAAATGCCGGCGGGCGGGGCCGGGGCTGGGGCGGGGCCGGTACTGGGGTGGAGCTGGGGGCGGAGATGGGGCGGAGCCGGTACCGGACCGGGGCGGGCGTTGGCGGCGGCTCCGCCCGGCGGGCCCGGGGCGCGGAGCGGGCGCTGCCGGCGGGGAGCGCTGCCCGCGGCATGGCCCTGGCCCCGGCCCCGGCCCCGGGCGGGCCCCCGCCGGGCGGCACCTCGGCGGGGGACATGGAGCGCTACTACCGCCTGCTCCGCGCCGCCGCGCTGCTGGAGGCCGCCGCCGGTGAGTGCGGGGCCGGCGGGGCTCGCCGGTGTCCGGGCGGCGGGGGGGACAGCGGCGTTCCCCGGAGCCCGCGGGGCAGCGGCTCCGCGGGCAGGTGTGCCCCGGGTGCCCCGTCCCTCCCGCCGCCGGGGCCGGTGCCGGTGCCGGGGTTGGAGCCGCTGCCGGTGCCGGTGTCGGTGCCGGTGTTGGTGTCGGTGCCGGTGCCGGTGCTGGGCGCGCTCTCCGCGCTCTCCGCGCTCGGGTCCCGCCGCCCGCGGCAGCCTCGGCACGGGCCGCCGGTGGCGGAGCGGAGCCGCTGAGGATCCGAGCTGCTGTTCTGTTCGGTTACCCTGCGGTGGGCGCGGAGCGGCCCCGGGTGTTCCCAGCACCGGGGTCCCCGCCGGGCGCTCTCTCTGAGCCGCTCTCGGTGACCCGCCGGGGACCCCGGTGCTGCCGGGGGCGGGGGGATGCTGGCAGTGCCGGCCCCCTGCGCGGGTTCCCGCGGCCAGAGCTAAAGACCTGTTCCTTGGGAAGCTGTACCTCATCCTTGGGAGGCTGTACCTCATCCCTGGGAAGCTGTACCTCATCCCTGGGAAGCTGTACCTCATCCCTGGGAGGCTGTACCTCATCCCTGGGAGGCTGTACCTCATCCCTGGGAGGCTGTACCTCATCCCTGGGAGGCTGTACCATCCTTGGGAAACTGTACCTCATCCCTGGGAAGCTGTACCTCATCCCTGGGAAGCTGTACCATCCCTGGGAAGCTGTACCTCATCCCTGGGAAGCTGTACCATTCTTGGGAAGCTGTACCTCATCCCTGGGAAGCTGTACCATTCCTGGGAAGCTGTATCATCCCTGGGAAGCTGTACCTCA